ACCAGTGTGTGCCAGTGTGTTCCACTGCTCCACTATTCAGTCTCTCTCCACAGAGAGAAAAGTAGGCCGAAACAGGGCAGGGCAGGCAATAGGGTTACTCGGTTGTTTCGGCTTTCATATGCAAACAATTATAATAGGCTTGAAATTAAATTTTAAGCTTTTCATTTCTGTCAGATGCGCGACAAAGATAAACAACGGGGGGTGGCCTAATGTGTGGGACAGGCAGAGGCGAAGCTTTAGATACCCTTAAATAATTATTTGATTTCTATCAACTTTAAATGGAGTTAACAATGGGACTGACTCAATGTGGGAACTCAAAGTCGTTCAATTGCAAACATCTGCACAAAATCGTAATACCCTCCCTCCCAGGGTACCCACACACACACACAGAGCCAACCCTGACATGTGGCTGAGGCATTTTGTTTACCCAAGCTGAATATGAAATTTATGTGGCATGGCATGGCATGGCATGGAATGGGATGGGATGAGTTGGGCGGAGTGTTTCTGTTAAGCTCAGAGAATTCTAATTTTGCAGCAGCTCCTCCTGGCTCTGAGGGATCTATAAGTATACTTTTAAATTCCGCCGCCGCTTGTCGCTTGGCCCTGCCCCTCTGCTCAGGCAGCCATCGATAGATAATGTTGTTTTTGTGTTTTTTTTTTCTGTGTGGCATGCCCAAGAGTGCGTGTGATTGTGAGTATCTGTGTGAGTGCATATCCGTATGTGCGTACGCTGTGTGTGTGTTTGCGGTTGTCATAAATCAACATTTACATGGTGTTTATGTTTTTTGTGTGCCCGCCACACCGGAAAAGGTAACAGACTTCGAAAGGTGAAATGATTGCTTGAATGGAAATGGTGGGGAGCAGGGGAGCAGGGGAGCAAAATGTCGGTTTGGCATTTAATTATAGATTGCGTGCGTGTGTTGCCCCAACCCCTCAATTCTTTTGTCATTAGATTGATGTAGGGCTGAATGGAAAATATATTCAGGCAGATACACACAAAAAAATAAAATTACTTCATTAATGAAAATGATGGGAAATTTGCGTGAATCGAATAGGGATTTGATTAACAATAATAAAAGCAAGAAAGGAAAGGAACAATAGCTATTCAAGCTTTCATTCATGCTTTCATTTAATGTACCTTCAATTTATCTGTGTTAAGCTCCATCTTGATCTTGTTTAGCATCCCCGAGTAAACATCCCACAAAACATTAATTTCATCTAACCCTAAAACCCTAAAAGCAAAATGTTGTCAGACTCGATGATGATGATGTTAAGGAAGTGCGTCCAAATGACTTTTCACTTCATCTGAGGCAAGCTTCTACATTTATTGAGTGCAGAGGCGGATCTAATGTGACTGTGAGACCCTGTTGTGGAACCACTCTGCGACTCTTGTCTACGCCCCTGACATCTGGCCCTGGCCCTGACTCTGACTCTGACTGGATGGAAAGCTATTCAATTAGCCGATAAAAGCACAGCGGTGGCCACATGGCCATGCGGCACTGGCACTGCCTGCGGTTGGAATGGAAGTCAGTCTCTGGCTCTCTCTCTCTTCCTCTCTCTTTCCACATATGAAATTAATGATTTCTGAATTAGTTTTCAATGTGTTTGCCGCTAAATGGCAAGTGGAGAGGCACTCTACCTTTACTCTTTGCCTTTCACGGTTTCAGGGTTTGCCTTGATGTCGGCTTTGAGTGCTCAAATTAAATGCACATGTTGAATAAAAGTTTTTTCATGTCTCTCTGGCATTTCATATACCTTTACTCGTGCTCTCACACTCGTAGCCATTTCCATTACCCTCTTCAGTTATGAGAAAAGTTTTAGAAAATGAGGAAAACTCTTCACTGATGCTAATGATATCATACGAATTTATGAGAGTCTGCGGTGGAGTCGACATCTGTGGAGGTATATTTTTATGGATAGCGAAATTTAAAATTCATTTTTTTAATATGTTTTGTGGCTATGAATATGTCTCCATAAATGCATTGAATTTTACGAGTAGCTTAAACGAAAGACTCTTAGTCTGGACATTTATTCGAGAGCAAAGTAAATGTCGTACAGCCCCACCGCATCCTCTTTTCGATAGTTAATACTCTTTGGTTCTATTTTTGGATAAACTTTCCTCTAATGCTCTCATTAAAAATACATACACGTGGAGCAACGCTGTCCCAGTGGATTTGGAGAGTGTTGCAGGCGGAGCTGGACGCTCGCTCACCTTTAAGGGTCAGAGACAGGCAGACATGCAGAGGGAGAGAGGAAGAGGGGCGGAAACTCTGACTAAATAAAGATCCAACGTCATCATAACAACTTTGTTTACGACGCCTCGAACTGACCTTGACTGCCGAACCGTACACCGAACACCGAACACCGAATACCGAACTCTGGAACCCGCCCAAAAGGAAACCCTTGGCCTTTTGTTTGCCCCGAAACAAAATAGAGAAGAGAAACCGAAAGCAGAGAATACGAGTATTCCTAAGCTTTGTGGATTTTCATTTTCCATGGTTGTGTGTGGGCACAGAGAGGCACAGAAACCGCAAAGTCATAAGCCCATTAGCCCATGGGATGGGATGGGCGCGTCCCCCGGTTGAGGCATTGTTTTAGGCAGTCCTTGTCCCTGGCTCTGGTTCTCCATTGCCTCTTGCTCTGTTGATGCGGAAAATGAGCAAGGAAATAGAGAAAATTCACCACACACACACACACACAGAGAGAGGGCGGGGATAACGACACCGAAGCCACAAGGACGTCGACGGCGGAGACGACAAGGTCTTGTTAGGTTAAATTATGCATAGATGCCACGCCCATGCCTGGTATTACAGGCAGCATATGCATACACCTTGGCATTTGATAATTGAGGGAGCAGAGGAACCAGACCAAAAACCAGCAACTAGAATCAGCATCAGGCAGCAACAATCATCCCGCCCCCAAGGGGGGCTGTGAGCTCAATAATTCAAAACAAACAAGAAGGATATTACGAGGATCTATCGACTAGAAGATACCCCACACTTGAGTACTTCTATCTCTGGGAATATATGGGTAGATAAATACATATATTTCTCTTTATATTAAAAGTTGTGGGTTGCCTTTTAAGAATTGGAAAACGCATCCTCCCACGCTCAAAAATACATTACACCCTTGGATGAGTACTCTCGAGTACCTCCTGCCAACACCATTTTAAAGACCTACAAATAAGAGAGCTTTGCCTAATGGAAATCATTTGAATATTCAACACAGCCACACACGCAGCTGGGAAAACATCAAAGAAGCCGCACCAAATTTGTTAAGCAATTTTTGTGGTCAAATAAAAGACCCCACAGAATGGTCCAAATAAAATAATATTTCAGCCAAGAAAAGCTTTTAAGGAAAGCTGCAACATTTGGCCAACGAGAGCCAATATTTGCCCAATAAATAATAAGCAAAGCCACAGAATGTGGCCTCATCTGGAATATTGCTGCTTGGGCCAGAGAAAGTGCAGAAATCGAGCAATTGAAGCATGAAAGTATTTACAGGGGAATAGGAAAAGCAGCAAAAGCCACACACACACACACACACACACACATACGTTCTGGTACGGGGGGTTTCCCTTGCTGCACTTATCATTCAATCGGTATGGAAATTGCTAGTTCAATAGCCACGAGCAATGGTAGTATCTGTGCATGTATCGGTGGAACTTATTCGCCTATTGAATGCAGAGATAAATAAAAGATTGCTAAAGATTCCAGATTCCCTTCTCGATTCAGTTGCCTGGCAACTGTTTCCGTGAAAAGTTTCTTCCCCCAAAAACCGTTCAGTAGTTCATATAATTTGTTCACTTTTTTTCAGGATTTATATTAACGATAGAGTGGGGGAGAGACACTGCCAGATAACAACTTCCCCGAAAGTAACCTCCAACGAGGAAATTGAAATGCAAAACTCGTGCTCCAGCAACTGTCTTTTCGTCTGTCTATCGCAGAAGACAGAGTCCTCTAGAAAAAAACCCCCTTAAATAAATAAATTCTTGCAAAATTTGCACAAAAATAAAAATAATAAAAAAAGGAAAATGTAAAAAATGAAGGAGAAAAAATACAAAATGTTTTGTCTTGGGCAGAAGTAACGAAAGCAGCAAGAACTGAGAGAGATACAAAGATACAGAACGACAGGCAGACAGACAGACCAACAGACAGTTGGAGGAGGATGAGGATGAGCAGAGCAAGGAATAAAGCGAAAGACAAATGCGAACGACAGGACAACCATTTTTATGGCCCCAAAGGATAAGTGTATTACAACAGCAAAAATAACATCAACAGCTACGCTGGTAAAATTTATATGCAAACGCAAGAGGAAGAATAGGGCGTGGCGTCCAGATTGGGGTTATCCGAGGGGCGGGGTGTGGGTATAGAGCGTTAGTTTTTTGCTCGTGGCGCGTGTAAAGCGTTCAAACATTTTTAATGTCCATCTGCGTGAGGATTAGCATAAAATCCGCTGTACTTTGCCCGACCCTGGCCCTGATTCGAGGACCCCGGACGCCCCAAAAACGTCTCTGTCTGCTCGCTGCAGAGACGTGAGGTATAACTTTATGTCCGCTTAGGTTTAAGTGCGGGTCTGGCTGAATGGATGAATGGCTGGATACCCTTCTGTGTATTTATACCTTTCGAATGTCTTGATTTCTCTGCCAGCTTACACATTTTATGGTCTTTAAAGTATCAGATTACCAAATGAAAATGTTGGCCCTTCAAATGGAATAAGTTGAAAGGAAAGCAATAAAATTTATAAGCCCACTGTAGCAGGGGGAGGGGAAACAGAGATATTGCTGGGATATCAGAGACCCTTGCCTGGAAAATCTTTACTCATTGTGATTCTTTCGCTATTTAATTGCTCATAAATTAAGTATTTGAATTCTGTACGCAGTTTGAGGGCACTTCGCATACCCTCTACCTGATATATATATTATACACAATTTTTTTATCATTATAATCTCTATTCTATTATATTCTTTTACTTACCCATTCTCGTTCTCGTTCCAACAGAATGCGATCGTTCATCGAGGAGAATGAGAAGAACGATCCGTTGATCAATGCTCCGGATAAGAAGAACAATCCGTGGGCTGAAAAAGGCAAATGCGTTATCATGTAATATTATCGTAAACCACAGAAATACCGTAATACCTATGATAACCAGCCAAATAACATCAGTAATATTAATAATGCAACAACAACAACAACCAGAACAACCCATTCAACTGAGCATGCAACTGCAACAACAGCAGCAGCGGCAGCAGCAACAACAGATCAACAATACCAATTATTGAATCCCACAACAGACAGTAATCGATGTAGCAGCCATAGAGATGATTCCCAGGATGATTCCTCCTCTCCCCTCCGTAATGATGATGATGATGATGACGATAATTCCCCAGATCTAATCCCCGTAGAGCTGCAACAGCAGCAGCATTACAATAACAACTATTACTACTACTACAACTACAATCTGAGCTATGCACCCAAGGACTGTGCCTGGGGCGGCAGCAGGCGCCCGAGTCGCCTCCAACAGCTGAAGCGTCGCACGCAGCACGAGCTGCAGCAGTGGCCGATGCTCATGCAGCTGCTACTGCTGGTCCTCTGGCTGAATGCCCGCTTCTGGCGGATCGTCGACGAGCAGGTGACGTACCGGAGGAGGCGATGGCATTGATTTGGGGGGCAGAGAGATATCAAAGGAGCGAAGCGAAGCGGAGCAGAGCAGAGCAGGAGACGGATGCGCCCACACAAACTGGTGCTGATAATGGTGTTGCTTGGTATGAGATCCGATCTAAGCTTAAGTTGAATCACAAATTATGCCCCAACTCTCTTTCAAATCTCATCTCAATAAAATTAATCAAAACTTAGGCTGCATAATATAGTCAAAGAAAAAGCAAAACCATCTACAAATGTAACACAGAGATCCCACATCCCGAAAGAGAGCAGACAAACAGCAACAACAACCTACAACAACAAACTACAACAATAGCGAGAGCACTCGCTGCTCGTTACATTTTGCTCACGCACTACTCGTTACATCACATCGTGATCGCTCTCGTCCCATTGCGATGATCACTCTGTCGTCTCGACTCGACTCGTTTCTGTCTCTCGTCGTCTTATGCTCGTCTTTCTATTTTTTCCTCTCTCTCTCTCTCTTTCTATCTCTCAATCGTTCATCTCTCTCTTTTTCTAGCTATCGTTCCCTAGTACTAACCGTTATTGCTATTTCAGTTCCAGTTGCATGCCATATACATTCTTAGAAGTTTTCCTTTGATATCGCTATATACTTTCCTTTGTTCTTCCACACCTTCTCCACCACCAATGCAATCCACATCAATCATCATCGCATCATCCCAAAAAACCCACCCAAAAACCAAAAAATTATCCACACACTAGTCGACAAAAAAAAAAACGCTAACTCAATCATATCAATCATGAGACAAGAAAATAATGTCAAAGCCTCGATAAATGTAACCCACCCATCATTCTGTAGAAGAGAAGCCTTAGAAGCGCCAAAACCCCCCGCCACCCAAAAAAGTAATCCCATTTTATGTTAACCAGCGAAACCGAAGAAGAAGATCTACTAAGAACTTTAATCCAAAGGTTTCCCCCGCCCTAAGCTTGCCTAAGAATCTGAAACTGAAAACTAAACTAAAAACTATCCCAACAGCAAACAAAAAATGAAAAAATTAACAAGAAAATAATCAGAAGAGAAGAAGTAGTAGAATCGTATTTTGAGTAGCGCTTCTTGATTTACATATTTGGTAGCCAGGCAAACGCTAACCGAAAACAGCAATTTCAATTGTGTTTCACAACATAAAATATAGAAGAAAAAAAAAATATAAACTATGGATAATATAATTTTATATACAACATACATACTATAGAGTTATAAATTTAAAGGCAGACGCTGTAGTTGATCGATGATTAAGCTTTAGTTCTAACAGAGATATGTTACTTATGATTATCTAGCGACAATTATTATATACGCAACAGACAACAAAACAAAACAAAACAAACAACACACAACAATTACACACACGAAAGAAAGATACACTTGAAACAATATGAAGAACAACTAAAAACTAATTGAAGTAGTAGAGGACACCCATGATATTTATACGAGTATAGGTGGAAAATAGTTGAAAAAAAAATAAAACCAAAACAAAACAATTAGCGAGAAATATTTTAGTGCAGTATCTAAAAAGTCAGCTGAAACTTTATATGTTTAAATGCGAAACTGCAAAATGGACTTGAAAAAAAGAGCAAACAAGAGGAAAAACTATATTATATTATATTATTAACTATTATTACGAGTATATACGATATTGAGAGGGCGTGCCCCAGGGGCCGACCAACAACAAGAAACAAATATAAGGCGCTGTTCAGCTAATCGACGAAATATATAGTGAAAATCGTTTACGTTTAATAAAATACTAAGTTCAGCTTATCGCTACGCGAATATGATTTCCATTTACAACTTAGGGATGATATATGATTTCAGCATTAGGAAGAAAAAGAGAAAAAACAAAAGACAACAATCAACAATCAGAACACAACAAAAACACACACAGACATTCCACAGACTCACACACATATTCCACACTACGAGGCTACCACTGAGGTTGCCCCATGATGAAAAATTATGAAAAAAAACTTGCGAAGTGAAATATAGTTAAGGAAACACTCGAATGGGGGGAATACCCCTTGAGAGAGAAACCTATGAAATAATCCAAAAATATATAGCACATTTAATGTTAATCTTAAGTTGAGGAACAAACAAACGTAGCGAAAATTCAACAGAGAGCGTAACATTAATTATACGAGTAAGTAAGTCGCGCAAAAGACCCCAAAAAGACACCAGAACACAGAGAAGCCGAAAGGTAATCAGCCTACAAAATAAGCAGCAAACGAAATGAAACGAAACGAAACGAAGAAGCAGAAGGGAAGCGAATTCACCAAATAATTAAGGAAACACTTCAACGAGAAGCGAGAAGGAGATGAACGATGATGAGGATGGAACGGAGCGAGTGCTCCTAACGAGAGGAGCGGAGATACAGAAATAGCATAAACACACAATAGAAAACACACACATAATTAGTGGTAAATTTTAAGAGCGAAAACACTCTGCAATCAAACGATAGAGAGATCTGGGGAAACCGAAAGCGAAGCAAAGCTACATCGAAACACACACCTTTGGTGGAAGCACAAAGTGGCAGGCATCCTGCTACCAGGAAGAATAATGCAAGCACCCAACAAAAGTGTTTCCATTTCGAAGCAGAAGCCGAAGCTAAAACAGATACACAACAAAACTAAATTAAGGTATTGGTGGTTACAAAAATATTATATATGTATAACTAATTGATGTTAGCAAAAGACGACGCTGGAATAACGATATAATCAAAAAGGCCCGAGGGCTGGCAATGACACGTTGCGATCCAGCGGCATTGCCAGACCTCACAGACAGGACGGGAGATTGACACAGTTGGCATAGGGCACATGTCTGGCATGTTCAGTGCTGCATGTTCCGTATCCATCTTGAGGGTATAACGTCTGTTTATTGGAAGTTGAAATCAAATCAAACTATATGAATATACGAATATATATATGTGTGTATAGTGTTGTACGTGAGAGTGCCATCGAGTGTCGTGGCACAGGCTCAGGTTCGCTCAGGCTGAGAAGAGTTTAATGAGTTCCAGATAGTTTTTTTCCGAGGTCTGACTGTACACGTCTCTCAAGAGCGCACTAAGCACGCCGAGTACCCGGGCACGGAGTTTCGGGGAAACGGGTGTGAGGGTGCCACCAAAATTGAACGATCGAACAGTCGGCCAAAGGATTGATCTTTTTTGAGAAGAGAAGTCTCCTTCGATGATGTCCATGTCATACGATTTCCACGAGGCCTGGACTGAGTCTGTGCCACGAACAGCGCTGGATATCGCTCGCCAAAAATGTACTCGCACTTTCGTCAGTATTTAATCGACTAAATCGTTAATTAACATTCAAAATAAATACAATTAAATATGGGAAAGTCATTTGAAGAGTGAAAAGAAGTGACGTGAAGTGAAGTGAAAGGAAAGAGAAATGTTAAATTTTAGTAATTTTTCCAGCAAGTTATAAACGATATATAAATGTTAACGTAAATAATCAGAAAGACAATTCTTAATTGATCGGAAGTAGTACTATGGATCGACACGGGAATTCAATTAAAATCTCGATAGATCGACAGGTCGATAGGTGAGACGCGCAAACAAAAGGTGCCAAACTGGTTCGATAGACAGAAAAAGTTCTGCCACGAGCAGATCTTTGGGGCGTATGCCGGGAAAAAGTAAAAAAAAAAAACAAGAAGAAAAACTAATTAAATATAAAGAACACACGATAATCTAGGCCGTAAGTTGATGTTACAACAGTTCATTGAAAAGCGTTTAAATATTATATGGCATACCAGAATATTATGGATTAAACCAGCATTAACTATATATACCTACACATATATATAATATGATATGATATGATATCAAATACAACAATATATTGCAAGTATTCAAATATTCATTGGACAAAACAAAAAAAACATAAAAGAAACTTTTATTGTTACAATTTTAGGTGTAAGTCATGTAACAGATAAGATATTTGGACATATAGGTTAACATTCTTACGATATATAAACGATAAACGATAAAAAATGATTGATTCTTAAACTTGTCGAATTGCGAACTCAGACAAACAAACAAAAGCACGGTGCCGCACAACATCCACAGGCTAAACCAGAAACCAAATAAATCAAAAACCAAAAACAAAACAAAGAAAAACAACCCAACAAACAATTATAATTTAGTCAAAGGAAAATCTAAATAAAAATCTAGCTAGTAAGTGAATTTTAACGCAGTAAAGCAAACAACAACAAAACAACAACACAACAAGAAACGAAAGACAAAACTACACGAAAAGAAAGAAAGAAAGAGGAAAGAAGAAGGAGATTTCACCAGAATGAAGGCAAAACAAAACAAACAAAAAAAAAACACGAAAACTCAAAATAGTATGATATAAACGAAAATGTATTTAGCTGTTAACAAAAACCAAACAAAACAAAAAACTACTAAACAAATGGAAAACCAAAATACCGAAAACAGAAAACCGAAAACAAAAAGAAAAACCAAAGCATAAGTATGATTATCATTAAAGGAACTTCTCTAAATAAAAAGTAAACTTTGAAAATCCTTAGCGGAGAAAAACTACCCTCTCTCTCTATAAAAAAAAACAAAAAACCAAAAACCAACAAAAATATTGTCGATTGTGTTTTATTTCCCCCGTCTCCCCGCCACAAAGACCTTCGACGACCGAAGGATAGCATTTCCCCACCAGAAAATCCTTCCAGAAAATGTTTGATGTTGATGTTGATGATGATGCCTTGCCTTGTGTGTTTACTTCTCCCCCCAACCCCTGTTTATCCTTTGCCTTGCTTTTGCTTGAGTTGTTGGCATTTATTTGGTATTATTTTGATATATTTTTGCGGTATATTTGCTTCTTTGGGCTGTACATATAATTATTGTGCCTGCGCTTGAGCTTCGTTTTTGAGCAAAATCTAAATGTCTTTCTCCACATTACAACGATTTGCACACTTTGGTGACCCACCCTCCCCCCACGACCCTCTGAAATTCGTAACCCTTGACTTCTGAGTCTGAGGTGTGCGTGTGTCTCTTCTTTCAGCTTCAGGGATCAACGTAAGTATGTATGGAAATGGGCGACTGGAAAGAAAGAACTGTAAACTGTGACAGTCCCTGAGATTCTGGCATCTGCTGTTCGCAGGCAACTTTTATCCTTTCTTGGCAGGCGATAAGCAAACTTTTCGCAACGCAAGTTTTCCTTTCACATTTTCAGCAAGTTGTCGGAGAAGTTTACCCTCCAAAGCGGAACATGTTTCGTGTAATTAGCAAACGGTGCGTATGCGTAATGGCATTACGCCTCAAGTAAGTGCATTTCGGAGCTAACAGGAAAAACGGTTTTGCACAATTGAAACAGCAAACGACAGAGGCAGAGACAGAGACAGAGACAGAGAGTATATCTTTCTCTTACTGTCTCTTGCTTTGTCCAGCGACAATTCAATTAAATATCAGACTAGCACTAAGACCAGGAATCCTGCCCGTTTTGCATGGCAATTGAAATGCAATGATGTTTGAATAGTACAGCTACACTCGGAGTATACTCGTATACCATCATAGCTGGGGTGGTGGATGGTGCGGCATGGAAACTCTCGTTTAAATACAATTCGAGCTTAACAAATCAATTGGGAGTCGGTGAACTGTGCCAATGACTGGCACTCGCTTGAATTCGATTAGAAAATGAATTGGAAATTGCTGTTCGCCTTTTGTCTCGATGGAACAATGAATCGTTCGAGTGAAACTCTTTGAATCATAGATTTCTGTGGAATAAATAAAGTTTTTCAATGAACCACAGCGCAGTTTGTGTGTGTTTATATTTAACAAGGGAGGGGGGGAGTACATACAATTATTTGTATCTGCTTTTCAGGAAGCAGATTTTCATTCTTTTTTGCCCATTTAAAATTCGTGGTAAGTGGCTCGCATGGTCGTTTTTCCCGCTCAAGTGGCTGCCTCTGGTAAAAATCTACATATTTAGACACATTTCATATGCAAATTGGGGCCCCGAAATGGCAGCCCTTCCGAATTTATATGCCAATTGGCAAAGTGTGAAATTAATGCGGCCCTGGTGAACGATCCCCGGGATCCGACGAGCAAAGGGAAAAAAATAAACACACAACAAGCAGTCCGGAAGTGTTTAAATTACCATGAAGCTATAAAAAAAAAACACAGAGAGAGAAGAGACCGCCCCAAGGTGGTGTTGGTCTCCTCTGTTGGTATTTATGAGCCACCGCTACTGTTGTCCCCACATCAAGTATTCATGCCCCACTCACTTGCTGACAGAAAGGTCTCTCTCGGCATGTGGTCGGTCGTCTCTGCCAATCAGGGACTCAAAAGCAGGAATCAGCGGGAGATGATATGGGAATGATTCTGTTTGAAGGTCGAGTGATGGCAAGGAGAGAGCAAAGTGTGCTGCCATTGGTTCTGTTCTATTCTGTTCTGTTCTTTAAGCCAAAAGAGTTATCTAGTTAGCCGCACAATCACAATTTGCATATCGATTGACAAAAGTGCATTGAGAACTGTCAAAAACCGCACAACTGCTCATGCTTGTGCTCGTGCGAATGAATTTCAAATGGAATTGCTGATTGGACTGCAGCAATCGAATGTAGAATGTAAATCGAGTACTCCGAATATGCAAATCAGTGGACAGACACGACTGTACTTTCCATTCAAGAGTTAAATGTGATTAATAATCGACTGACTGACTGACTGAATGAATGAATGGCAGACAGCACACAAAACAGCTGGTAATTACAATTGAGAAGTGTTCGTGGGACCCTTTTATGCAACTCACTCATTCACTCTATCAACTCACCCATCACCCATCGCCCATTCATTCATTCACTTGCAATTTGTTTTGCTCTGTTTGCCATTTTGGCGCCTCAGTGTCGACATTTTCTACGCCATTTGCCTGTCTGTCCGCATTTCCTTCCTTCCGCTTCCTTTCGCAGCGCCACCATGCCACCATGCCACCATTCTACCATTCTACCACTCTAGCATTCAGTCCTTTCCTCTCCCGTGGCTCTCATTAAATGCAATCTCTAATGCAATTGACATGGCTTGTCTCTTATCCTCCCCTGCATCTTGCTTCCTTTAGAGTCCTGCGGCCTTGGGCATTTTGTGATTTCTGCAGTTCACTTCTCTCTCCCTCTCTCTCGCTCTCGCTCTTTACTCTTCAGTTCTGTTCTGTTCTGTTTGATTATGAAAATTACTTTGAGTGTTGGCTGTTTTTTAATGAGTCGCCACACAGAATATGCACCAGAGACAGAGATTCTCCCGCCCTTCGGGCTCATCTCTAATTAACATGTCATATCCTCCTGGGGCATTCCTTATCGAGCATACGCAGCGTTGGCCATAGCCACCACCTGGCCTAAAACTTTCTCCAATTCTCCTGGGGGATCTCCCCCACCCCCCTTTCAGGTGGGAAACCAGCAGAGCAGTCAACGAACTGTCAGCACAGGGATTTAGCCACCAAAAACGAAGAGGGAAATTCAACTGTTTGACAGTCAGCCTTAGTTACCATCTGACTGACGGACAAGCTGCTTGACAAGCTGTAACCAGAACCAAACTCAGAAGCCTTCTCCTCCCCTCCTGCCTACTGCATCTTTAGACCCCAGAACGTGGCTTGATTTATATTTTATTTAAAAAGTAAAAAGGAAATTATCAGGTTTTACTCTTGGTTTCTCTTTCTGTTCATTTTAGGTTTGTAGGTTTGTGGCGGTCTTTTTTTGCATAAAGTTTGTTTAACGTTTATCTTGCGGTCGCTTTACGCTTTACGCTTTTTGCATGACCGGCAAAAGTTTCTTTGAGGCCGTGGCCTCCTGCCTGCCTGCTAATAAAAAAGAGCTAAGAAGAAAAGCCAGTGGCACTGCCAGCAGGAGGTACAAATAAGCAAAATTTAAGTGAAATTTAAACATGAATAATGAAAGGAGAATGGAATGGAATGGAATGGAATGGAATACGAAGGAGTGCCCAAAATAGTGAAAGGTCACAAAATTAATCAAGAATGTAAAGTCGCGACTTTTTGTGGAAAGTTTTGGCAAAAGTTTTCCACTGTTTGTAGTTTTCTAGTTAATTTAAATGGCTGCAGAACAAGCAAGAGTTTTCAAGTGAAATATGTCTGCTTTATGCAAAGGAAACTTTTCGGATTCTATTTAGTTATTGATGGAAATATTACTTGCTCCTTTATTGGTACAAACTGGAGGAGAATGGCGCGTTATTTATCATCTTTAAGGGGTTTAAAGTTCTGGTTTTCTTTTACTGCCAGAAATATGCCTCCCGTCACTGCTGAGGTTCAATCACGCTACTTCCATTTTCCTTTCATGTTTTCCATCCCATTTCCCACCGGCCTGCCCTTTTAATATTTTTCATAATTTTTGCAAGAATCACCCGAGGGTTCTGTGGCCCCTCCACGTCATGCTGTGGATGCTCGACCAGGTGTAAGGAAATGTGGCCCCAAGTCAAATCTTATAAGCATTAATTCTCATTAAATTTAATTGCAACCGACTTGGGTTGCGGCCAGGTGGAAGCCATATCCCACTCCTATATACATACATATATATATCCAGTGTGTCCTGTGTTCTGTGACCTGTTGGCTCTGCTCGCCCATGTTCGTGGCACAATTATGCAAATGACTTTTGGGTTGTCCCGCATTCGCGAGAACGGAGCCGATTAACCCTTTTGTGTGGCAAGGCGTTGAAAGGTTCTGCACTCAATTATGGTGGGGCAAAGCGTGGCAAAAAGTATTATCACCTGCTGCCCAAAAAAGCGGAATCAGAACGTTGAATCTTCCTCCTGCTGCAGATCCACAATGAAAGCTGAAACACTTAGCACTCAATTGTTGGTGGATTGCCGGGAAAAGCGCCAAAAAGTTTTCCATGCCGGCAGCGAGAAGCTGAAACTAACTAAACTGCCAATCCCACTGCCATTCACCGACACGGCGATGGAGATGGAGATGGAGACGGAGAACAAGAGCGAGACCCCGACACTGAACCGACACCGACGAGAGGGAATAAAGAAAATTTGTTTAGCAACATTTTCAAACGGTTTCCATTGGCGTGAGTCAAATTAATTTCGAGTGCCAAGTGGTGCTCTCCCTGGCACACCCACAACCCATACCCACACCCATCCTCATCTCAATTAATTTGCCAGCTGCCAGCAGATACATATAGAGGGAGGAGAACTGAATATAGAGAGAGGAAGACTGGCACTGGAATAGTTGAAGGAACAACTTTAATATGTGGTGGGGCTGGAGCTGGAGCTGGGTACGAGCACTATTTGCTTTCTGCGGTTCCGCTTTCCCTGCAATTTTGGTGAGTGTTTTGCCAATAGTTTTTCTGCTCTCCTACCCCCCTTCGTAGAGAGATATTCTGTGCCTGTGGCTGTGGCAAGGGAGGGGTTGGGAATAATTAAGTAAATGAGTTGGTTTCTAGTGGATCGGATAAGAATAATACCCGAATAACTCGTGGGATTACAAGTAAACTTTTAAATGTCAAAGAACGTGACTCTAAAAGGCTTATCGCATAAACCCCACCTAATATATGAATTACAACACTTTTAAATTTCTCTTCTCTTTG